ATGGTGCACCAGGGTCCTTCAGCGCTTCGGTTTTTAGGGCCACAGGCCACTCCTCTGCCTACACGCCACTCGCTCTCAGTTCCACCTTCGGACGAGTCCGTATAGCCAAGTGGTCCATATCTAGAGTTGTGGGCTACCTCATGTGTTCGATGACTTGCACTCGGCTTGACCTCGCGTACCCTCTCAGCATCCTGGCATTCTACGTTGCGCCCGAGAGAAACTGACCAGAGCACGGGCGGGCTGCTAGGAGGGTGCTGCATTACTGGTGTAGTACATCGGACATGGGGCTTGTGCTTGGAGGACGGGGTGCAGTTGTACTCACTGGACACCCAATCGCTTCTTGGGCAGACAACTAAGAGACTCATCGGTCGTCACAGGAACACACTTTCAGTCTCGGCTCTGATTCCATTTCCTGGAGGCCCACCCGCTCGTCTTCTGTCGGAAAACTCACTCCCCCTCTGCTGCTTCCCTGCCCTCCCCTTTGATCCCCGCCCTTCTCTCCCTTGTGTCCCTTTCTCACCCCGGCCTTGTGTCTCACTCCTACTTCCCTGCGGGTTGGTGCTCTCCTCTGCTCTTCCTGAATTGCTTTAGCTCTCCTTAGGCAGCCGGAGTGAAACTCCCACTAATCCTTATACTGCTGACTCATGGCTTCCGCCTGGGCTCTGATGCTCGTGTTTGGTTTAACGAGATTACATTGCTGAAGCAGAAAACATACAACGAAGCATCAGACACTAGCGTTCAGGAGGCCTATATACAAGATGAGCCCCAACCCTAGCACCTGACCCTCAGCGGTAAACGACAAGCAAACATCACATCCAGGCACAGCTCGCGCTACTGAGCGCTATGTACATGCCAACAGCGGCTTGCAGTTGCATGAACTCCAGTTGGGGTCATTAACCAGGTGTCACACTGTCTTGCATGCGTCCTTGCAACCTCTGACAGCTGTCGAACCTACTGCCCTTATACTCGTTGGTAGCTTCCGCCCTGCAAGGAAGAACAATTACAAGCTCGCAAAAGGGAAACATGCACACCACACCCCCATCCCCACATACGCAAGCACACCCGGGCTCGCCACTCGCTATTGTACAAGTATGTACAGTGCAGCCCGTGTCACCGCTGCTCCCCCTTCCTGCTACCCTCAATACACGTTTCCTCGCTTGAAGCCGTTCCAGTATTCTCGAAACACGCGCTCAATTGGTTTCTTCCTTACGCCGAACAATCCTCGCTGGCTCGGTCAGTACTCCGCCCTCACGGTCGGTGTATTACCGTGACACTTCTGTTCTCAGCTCCAGTTATGAGGTTGAGATCTACGCGGGAGCCATGGCTGCACAGGAGTTACGTTGGCTGACCTACTTGTTGATACTTGGGTGAGTGGCCTTGTTTTCCTCCGGTTCTGTACGTTGACAACAAGGCCACGATTGCCTTGTGTCGGTAGCAAAGATTGGAGCACATAATGAAGCACATTGCTCTTCGTTACTTCCTCGCTCGAGAGTTATAGCAGCGTGGTCAGATCCGCCTTACTTACATGGCCTTACTGGCCAACACTGCTGATTTTTTCACCAAGGCATTTGTACCTGGTGCTTATTAGCGATTCTGCACTGCTCTTGGGCTTGTGCCCACTCTTCCTCACTTTCTTCTCTCTTGACTCTTCCTAGGTTGTGATATCTGTATTGCATATTCAATCATATTTCTAATTGTGGACTAGCCTTGTGGCCGCTTGCCTGTGCTCGGACTGTGTGGTGGCCAGGGCTGACGTTTCAAATTTAGGCACCCTGAAGTACCCCAAAATATATGTATATATGTATATACACTCTGAAGGCACTTCGGCCAGAAACGAGGCACTCTGATTGGTCAGTGTGCTGAAGTCGGCAAGTCTGACCATTCAGGGTTGGCCGGGTCGACGCCAGACATCAACCTCATGCAGCACTGTTGCCCAATTTCTTGTGCTGCCGCATTCCATGTGCTGCGCCGCGTGACTCAGCTAAGCAAGCGCCCTCGCAGCAGCGTCTGCCCGGTAAAAACTGTGTCTTCATTCGCGAGCAAGCGTTGGTTGTACGAACTGTAATGAACATGCCAAATGGGGTGGACATATCAGAATAGTGAGCAGAAAGTTAGAACACGAAAGAGGGGTTGCACTAGCAAGCAGTTGAGTACATAAAGGAAACCCTAAATTGGGCTGTACTCGCTATAGAGTACCCCACTGCAGGCTAGACAAATACAACATTCTGACACACCCCCATAGCCAAAGTGGGGTGTAATCAGCACAACAAGCAGGCAGAGCAATAGTTCACAATGATAAGTAAAGCTAGAGGCTATCACAGAGGGCAAGTGAGGAGGAGGAGAGACTGTGGGGGCGAGAAGATGGGAGGCAACGGCTGAAGCTGCAGACACACTGTAGCGGCTGGCTCAGTGGCTACCGAAGCAAAGGCCCGGACTTCAGGAGTAACTGGCTCCGCGGCTACACCGAGCGGCTGGAGCAACTGACCCACGGGCGACTGGCGACTACCGGAGATTGTAGCCTCCGGACTACTGGCGCTGCGGACGACAAGACGGCTGCCTCCACTCAACCTCCCCCAGCTGTCCCACACCCCTTTCACTCACCCACTGCTGCACACCTAGCTCCACTCCCATGGCACCCCCTTAGCGCCACTCCTCCGGCTCCCACACATCCACCCCCCTCAGCGGCAGCTGCAGTAGTGGGAGACGGAGGAGGAGGAGGAGGAGCGAGTGGCGACGCACACACACCCGCCACCCCCAGAATCGGCACCGCGCAGTTGCACGAGGGCAGGGAGCGGTGCGCGGCTCCACAGGGCAGCACGCGCGGGCTGCAGGGGCGGCTCGCGGGCTGGTGGGGCGGCTCGCGGGCTGTAGGGGCGGCTCGCGAGCTGCAGGGGGGGCAGCGCGCGGGCCCCCCGAGGGCGCCACGGCGGGTGACGGGAGGGGGGCCGCGCGCGGGCACCCGAGGGCGCCTCGACGGGCGACGGGAGGGGCTGTGCGCGGGCCCCCAAGGCGCCTTGACGGGCGACGGGAGGGGGCGACGCGCGGGCCCCCAAGGCGCCGCGACGAGGCGACGGGAGGGGGCGACGCGCGGGCCCCCAAGGCGCCGCGACGAGGCGACGGGAGGGGGCGACGCGCGGGCCCCCAAGGCGCCGCGACGAGGCGACGGGAGGGGGCGGCGCGCGGGCCCCCAAGGTGCCGCGACGAGGCGACGGGAGGGGACGGCGCGCGGGCCCCCAGGGCGCCGCGACAAGGCGACGGTAGGGAGCGACGCGCGGGCCCCCAGGGCGCCGCGACGAGGCGACGGGAGGGGGGGGGCGGCGCGCGGGTCCCTGGGGGCGCCGCAACGGGCGACGAAAAGCAGTGCGCGGGTCCCCGGGGGCGCCGCGACGGGCAGGACAGGGCGTCGCGCGACGAGGAGGGCGGCGCGACGGGCAGAAAACCGCCGCGCGCCCCGAGCGCACGGCAGGAAGAAAAAAAACGCCGCACACCCCGAGCGCGCGGCAGGCAGGAAAGGTCGCGCGCTTGAGGCGCGCGATAGGAAGGACAGCAGCGGAAGACGTAGGTGGGCCCATCCACAGGATCGACCCGAGAGGGTCGACCTGCTCTGATAGCATATCAGAATAGTGAGCAGAAAGTTAGAACACGAAAGAGGGGTTGCACTAGCAAGCAGTTGAGTACATATAGGAAACCCTGAATTGGGCTGTACTCGCTATAGAGTACCCCACTGCAGGCTAGACAAATACAACATTCTGACAGGACAACAGTACACGCAGCGAGCTGAACTGTAGCACCAGGTGCATCGCCTTGAGGCGCAAGAACAAGCAAGTGGCGCACGAAATTTCTACCCACCTACACCTTCTGTGCATCAACAGCCACCCTTTTGCATTGAGTCAAAAATTAGGTTTACACGTTTTGGCGTGGGGAACAATATCGCGAATTCACGATTTCACGGGTGGCGATATGTCCTCTTGCACCGATTCGCTGTGCGATTCGCGAATCCGTTGTGCAGTCCGCTAAAAACTGCTTCTTCGACTAGTTAAATATGTCGCTTCGGTTAGCCGAAGCAAATGAACCTCGGGATATTGGTGACCAACAAGTGTACTCACGTGTCCTGGCTGGTGCATTGCGCGTGCTCACTTGCTGGCACCATGTACAGGTGGGTGTATCGGGACGAAATTTCCAGGTTGCTTCGTTTCGATAGACTCGCATTCAGGGCCCATAGAACGTATGCTCTGTAGAGACAGACTCCAAAAACGACTAACATTGAGGCCTATTACACGGAATCAGGGGCCATAGAACATTAAGTTTGAGGCTCTCAGTGATGAAAAATTGACTACTCTGGAAATACATTTTTCACAAACTGGATGGTCTGATTCGTCAGACTATTTAGTTTGATAGCGTCAGCCCTGGTGGTGACTTTGAGATCCACCCTGAGCTTCTTGTGTTATATTTCCTTGACTGGTCTTGTGAGCACATGCTTGGCGTGGTCGTTTTGATGCATCTCACTCAGGCTATGGGGGTGTGTCAAAGTTATATGCTATATATTAGTTTAGCATGTAATGCATTGCATCTTAGGGTGTACAGTATTTCTCTCGACATCATCTTTGTACCCTCCACTTTGACCTGATCCACACCATTCCTGTCCTACAATTTTAACACGTCTCTCTTCTCTCCCATACCTGCTTGAGCGAGCCTCATCTAGTGCTCCTTTGCTGACTTGATTATGCCTTCTTCTGTATGGGTTGCTTGCATGTACCGACCCGGGATGTGATGCTATACTAGAAGGGGGGTTTTAGGGTTGTTGGGCGAAGAAGAAACACTTAAAGAAGCGAGCTTACCAAACCCCAATGATGCAAGCACTTTTCACAGACACCGCTGGATACCACACTCATGTACCCCCCATCAGAAGCTTATGTTACAGGCCGTGGATAACTTGAAAGTAGACTTGACTACACCTTGTCAAATCACCTAAGGCCTTTCCTGGGTCTTCTTACACCTGCTTACTTTCCAGGCGGTGGGTTGGGTGATTTCCTGCTTCCCCCTTTGCCCTTCCCCTTGTCCTTCCTCTTACCCTTCTCTGCCTCTCTCCTCGCCCTCTCAGCTTTCTCCCTTTTCGCCTTCTCCTCTGCCTCCCTCGCTTTCTTCTCCTCTTCCTCTCGTTTTCTCTTCTCTGCAGTCTCCTCCTTTTCCCTCGCTCTGCCCTTTGCAAGCTGCTTCCTCTCCTCCCACTCTCTTGCCTTCCTCTCTTTCTCTGTCTCCCTCTTCACCCCACTCGCCTCCCCCCCCTGCTTCTCTCCACTAGCAACCCCCCCTGTCTTCTCCCCTCCCTTCTCCTTTCCCTTCTCCCCTACCTTCTCTCCTCCCTTCTCCGTTCCCTTCCCCCCTCCCTGCTCTGACTTGTTACCACTATCAGCCCCCCCAGCATCTCCTCTCTTCTCCGACCATTTCCCACTCCTGCGAGATGAGCCTGGGCGTGAGGCTGACGTGCTGTTCGATGGCGTAACAGGGTTACCACTTTCTGAGGTGGAGTTACCGCTCGCAGGCACAGTGCCGGCATCTGCTGCAGTGGAATTCTCGGCTTTCTTTGCATCTGCAGCATCTGCAGCAGCAGCAGCAGCAGCAGCAGCAGCAGCAGCAGCGTCTTTCTGAATCTTTGCCCAGTCGTTTAGAGCTGGGGGCACGGCAAACACCAGGGGACAAGAGCAAGTGGGTGGTGAGGGGGGTTTAAGTCGCCTCAAAGGTCATACATGTCTGCTCATCCAGAGCTGAGAGCAGCGCAAATACCAGGGGACAAGAGTAAGTAGCGACCCATGTTGAGTCACCTCAAGGTCATACACGCCAACTCATCCAGAGCTGGAAGCAGCCTTTTCTCACCTGTGCACTGGCTCTTTAGAAAATCTTCACAGTTGGAGTTACTTTTGGAATTCTCAAAGGTAACCTCTCCTCACCTGTGCACTGGCTCTTCACCAGGTCTTCACTCATGCTCCTGTTGACACAGTATGGGCTGCTGTCACACAGACGCAGGTAGGACCAGTAACGACAAATCTCGCTCCAGCCCTTGCAGAATCCGTACTCTTCTTCATGCAACCATTGCCTGCTGCTGCTGCTGCTGCTGCTGCTGCTGCTGCTGCTGCTGCTGCTGCTGCCGCCGCTATTGCTGCTGCTACCATTCCCACCAGCTGACGTGGCAGAGACGTTTGCTGATGCGGGGTCCGTGCTGACGTGGCAGTCAATGACACCGTTGCAGAAGCGGGACTTATGCACGCACTGAACACCGTTGGGGCACTTCTCGTAATCCCAGTGGCACCGAAACGTTCTGCACACCTCGGGATCCTCGTCATCAGTATAAGCAGCTCCGTTAGCAGCACTGGCGCTTGTATTACTGTAGTTGCTGTAATCAATGCAGTCGTTGACCCCGTCGCACCACTTCTCCAATGGCAGGCACGTGCCAGTAGAAGGGCACTTCTTGGTGTTTGTCCATTCCGTATTACAATCAAATGCGTGGCAAAGGGAAGGATCCTCGTCTGCTGTGTAAGGCAGTAGGGCAGGCGAACCGACAGTGCTGAGTGAACTAGTGCTGACGGAGGAACCACCACCTGTAGCCACCCCTTCCGAAGCAGCATTTGAGCCTTCAGCTGCACCATGCATCCCCTGAGCTGCATCATCAATTGCACTGGCGGTGACCGGGCAGTCGTTCGTGCCGTCGCACCTCTGTCTTTCCCGAATGCACAGGGTGCTTCGAGGGCACTTCCAGTATCCATATGAGCAATTGTGACTCTTGCACATCGCTGGATCCTCGTCGTCACTAAAAGCCAATGCTTCCATGCTTGTATTGGCCACAGCAGCAGCAGTGGTAGTAGCTCCAGTGGTGGCCCCTTCATCATCACCCTCTAAGGGACAATCGTTCTTTCCATCACAAACCTCCGACGCGTCAATATAAACATCGACCCACACGCCCCCCTCCTCCTCGAACCCGGGAACGATCACTTTCTGCTGCCGCTGGCACTTGTAGTACCCATTCTCCTTCGTCTTGCACACCTCAGGATTCTCGTCCTCGCCATAAGGCAGGGTCTGGTTCGTTACAGGGTGCTTCGCTAGTGGGCAGCTGGACACACCGTTGCATGCCTGCACACACTTGTTGGTTTCGGTGCAGCGAACCTGGTCCGAGTATTGACAGCCAGGCCCACAGATCTCGTCTGGGTCACTGTAGCGATCCACACAGCAGTAGCCCGAGCCATAGGTGATGTTGCATGACCAGAGGTCATCACAAACAGCCTGGAGAGGCAAGAAAGGGAAAGAGAGACGAGTTATGAACTATTTCTGAGGCGCCTAAGAAGAGATTTCCCACAGCCTGGCCCGCAGTGCTCGTCTGGTTCGCTTTGGGGATCCACGCAGCAGTAGCCCGAGCCATAGGTGATGTTGCATTTCCAAAGGTCCGAGCACACTCCCTGGAGAGGCAAGAAGTGGGAAGCGGGGAGATTTATGTGCTGATGTGGGCTTGGGAGAGAAAGGGCGGCGTGACAGTGGGGAGGAGAGATTGGAAGAGGAGCGAGTGGGAGTGGAAAGTGTGTAGAGGAGAGATTTGGAGAGGATAGAGTGGGAGAGGAGAGAGTTGAAGGGGAGATGGAATCAGGGGAGAGGATGTGAGTGGAGAGGTGAGTGGGAGAGATGGAGAGAGAGGAGAGGACTGAGTGGCTGAGAGTGAGAAACACAGTGGCAGAGCTTTAGCGGGAGAGAAGGGAAGAGGTGAAGCAGAAGAATGAGGGTGGCCAGGAATGTCATGCTAGCAACATCTAAGGCCATAGATTGTGGCTTACATAGGTGTTATGCATCTGCGCACACTTTTGAGTCGACTCAGAAGAAGGATGATGGTGGCCAGGAATGTCATGCAAGGACCATCTAAGCCCATAGGTTGTGGCTTACATAGGTGTTATGATTCTGCGCACACATCCATTCCTCCTGCATGCACGGCTCGTTCTCACCCCGGCAGTACATGCCATGGGGTGCACCGTTGTCGTAACACACCCTCTCTCCAGGCCCGCACCCATAATCATTGCTGCTGTCGCTCTCACTGTCGGTTCTGCTGCTGCTGTCACTGTTGCTGCTGTTACTAACGTTGCTGCTGCTGGTGCTGTCACTGTTGTTGCTGTTACTGTCACTGTTGCTGCTGCTGTCACCGTTACTGCCGTTACTCTCGTTGCTGCTGCTGCTGTCGCTGCTGCTGCCAGCAGTACTGTCTCCATTGATGCTGCTGCTGTCACTGTTGCTACTGCTGTTACTGCCGAGGCTGCTCTCACTGTTGCTTTCATTGCTGCTCAAGCCGTTGCTGGTCTCATCGCCTGAAGCGCTGGTGTCATTTCCTGAAGCGCTGACGTCATTTTCTGAAGCGCTGACATCATTTCCTGAAGCGCTGACGTAATTTCCTGAAGCGCTGGTGTCACTGCTTGTGTCGCCGCTGTTGAACGAGTCCCATCCAGGATCCTGTGCTGCCACCTATTAAGGTTGGGGGAGAGGCATGAGTGGGGGCAAGGTAGGGTTACGAGGCTGGGAAGGAAGAGGTGAGAGTGGGGGAAGAGAGCGAATGGGTTGAGACCGACAGAGGCTTGGGAAGTGATAGTAGCCGAAGAGAGGTTCAATCGGTGGGGCTGTACACGAGATGCACCGTGGGGATGTTATATGATGCGGGAACTGGAGGCGGCGGAGAAAGGCGCCGAGGGGGAAGCCTCGCCAGAAAGGTGATTTTAAGCGCTGGATAGGAGAGTTAACTTGAACGGGAGGATGGGAACCGCGACGGGAGACGCGGAAGTGCCATAGCTAGAGCTACCGTACTCTATACTTGTGACAGGTGAGTTAGAAAACTAGAGCTACTGTTTGCGGTATCTCACACTAAAAACAGAACACGGAGGGAGGGAGGCGCATTACCTCTTCGGCCGGTATGGACGCCATTGCTGTAGACAGAAAAGACGCCAGCGGAAGCGCGAGAAGCAGCCACGAAACCGCAGCTAACGACCTGAACGGCAACTGTCGCTGTGCCATTTACTAACAGCAGTACGAACCGACGGACACGATCCGTCAGAGCTTTGCGTATTTGTTCCTCTGAATTGGATGGCCTCGTTGAGACCTTCCGATTCGTGGTGAACGTTTCGGGTCTGTTAGGGGTTCGGAAGGTAAAGTCTCGGTTTTAGGGTTTCGCGTCTGTCACAGATTGTTGCTCGCAACACGTACCGCAGCCACTCTGTGAAGGCTGGAAAAACAACTAGATCTGTAACATATTTTATAGAATGAGATCGAGCGATAGGATAAACGAGTAAATGCGGGCTTGCTTGAGATTACTGCGACAAAGGGGTGATTGAGAGCCATCACAAAAAAACCTGAGAGATCGCAGTAGTACAGTAGTACTAATACGAATTGGAAACCGCGATGCACACAAATGGCTGTGTGTAAGGGGAGGAAGAGGGAGTTGGAGAAGAAACAGCTTGCGCGCGAAATGTGCCGAGCCGCATCACGGTAGATATTGCCCTGCCTTGCTGTCAAACTGAGGTTGGTGGTGGCGAGGGATGACGCCCTATGACCCCCAACGACCGCAGCGGAGTGCAGTGTGGCCCTGGAAGGGGTCCACCTGAGCGCAACAATCGCAGGTCAATTTCAGGGGAAACAGAGATTCAGCTTCAGGGGCCGTGATGAGGTCGCGGAAGTCAACGCAGATATGTCATTCGTGCGAAAGAATACGAATGCTCGAATGTTACGTTGCTGACGAGTTATATATGCATGTTTTGGTTATGAGTTGTAAGGAAGAATGCACATATTTAACTAATAACGAAGCTGTGACGAAATGAAGGGCTATCAATAAAATAGGAGGCTGACAAAGGGGAAATTCCATAAATTTAGGATAGGTGCAGGTTGGGGAACTGAATGCGTACGAAGGCTATGTGTGCGAACGCGCGTACGAACACGCGTACGAACATGCGTACGAAGATGCCTACAAAAAAGCTGATGTGCCACTAATCAAATTATTTAGTCTCGGACACGAACCTCAATGTGCTGGAGCAGTTTACAAGATGTACAGAGCTAACATTTCAAACATAAACATTGTACAGACAGAAACAAGATACCCGTACCACTATCCTTCAACGTAAGGAACACGTAGAAATGCCAATCAAGCTATACCCGTACTATCGAAGGTTTTTTCGTGACTTTCTTACCCCTGTATTCCTCCCAGGCGGTAGCTTGGGTGATTTCCTGCTTCCCCCTTTGCCCTTCCCCTTGTCCTTTCCCTTACCCTTCTCTGCCTCTCTCCTCGCCTTCTCAGCTTCCTCTCTTTTCGCCTTCTCCTCAGCTTCCCTTGCCTTTCTCTCCTCTTCCTCCCTCTTTCTTTTCTCTGCAGCCTCCTCCTTTTCCCTCGTTTTGCCCTTTGCAAGCTGCTTTCGCTCCTCCCACTCTCTTGCCTTCCTCTCTTTCTCTGTTTCCCTCTTCACCCCACTCGCTTCCCCCCCTTGCTTCTCTCCACTGGCACTCCCCCCTGTCTTCTCCCCACCCTTCTCCCCTCCCTTCTCCCCTCCCTTCTCCCCTCCCTTCTCCCCCCCATTCTCCCTTCCCTTCTCAGCTCCCTTCCCCCCTCCCTGCTCTGACTTGTTACCACTATCAGCTCCCCCAGCGTCTCCTCTCTTATCCGACCATTTCCCTCTCCTGCGGGATGAGCCTGGGCGTGAGACTGATGTGCTGTTCGATGGCGTAACAGGGTAACCACTTTCTGAGGTGGAGTTACCGCTCGCAGTACCAGTGTTGGCAGCTGCTGCAGTCGAATTTCCAGCTTTCTTTGCAGCAGCAGCTTCGGCAGCAGCAGCAGCGTCTTTCTGAATCTTCGCCCATTCATTCAAAGCTGGGAGCACAGAAAACACCAGGGGACAGGAGCAAGTGGAGGAAGGGGTTGGGGAAGGGGGGGAGGGTAAGTCGTCTCAAAGGTCATACATGTCTGCTCATCCAGAGTTGAGAGCAGCGCAAATATCAAGGGACAAGAGCAAGTAAAAAACATGCGTCACCTCAAAAATATTGTAGCAAGTCCTACTCAACCAGACCTGGAAGCGGCCTTTCCTTACCTGTGCATTGGCTCTTCACCAGGTCCTCACTCATGCTCCTGTTGACACAGTAAGGGGTATTGTCGCACAGACGCATGTAATACGCGTCACGACAATTCTCGCTCCAGCTCTCATATAATCCAAAGTCTTCGTCATGCAACCATGCCCTGCTGCTGCTGCTGCTGCCGCTGCTGCTGCCATTCCCACCAGCTGACGTGGCAGAGACGTTTGCTGATGCAGGGTCCGTGCTGACGTGGCAGTCGATAACACCGTCGCAGAAGCGGGACCTATCCAAGCACTGGACGCCGTTGGGACACTTCTTGTAACCCCATTGGCACTCAAACGTCTGGCACACCTCGGGATCCTCGTCATCAGCATAAGCAGCTCCGTTATTAGCAGCACTGCCACTTCTACCACTGAAGTTGGCATAATCAATACAGTCGTTGACCCCATCGCACCACTGTTCCAATGGCAGGCACAGACCAGTAGAAGGGCACTGCTTGGTGTGTGGCCATGCTGACGGATCACAGGCAAATGAGCGGCAGAAGGAAGGGTCCTCATCGGCTGTGTAAGGCGGTATGGCAGGTCCTGCAGCCACAGGTGAACCGCCACTTGTAGCCACCCCTTGCGAAACAGCATCTGAGCCTTCAGTTGCACCATGCATCCCCTGACCTGCCTCATCGGCTGCTCCGGTTAGAGGGCAGTCGTTATTGCCGTTGCACCTCTGAGAATGATGAATGCACAGGGTGCCTCCAGCACACTTCCAGAATCCATCTGAGCAGTTGTGAGCCATGCACATCGCCGGATCTTCGTCGTCGCTTAAATCCAGAGCTTCCGTGCCGGGATTTGCCAAAGCAGCACCAGCAGCCGCACCAGCAGCAGCAGTAGTGGTGGCCCCTTCATCGTCCCCTATAAGGACAATCGTGGATGCCATTGCAGACCTCTGAGGCATAAATATACACATCGACCCACACGCCCCCCTCCTCTTCAAACCCGGGAACAATCACTTTCTTATGCCGCTGGCACTTATGTAACCATGGTAAATTCTTCTTGCAGACATCGGGGTCCTCATCCTCGCCATAAGGCAGGGTCTTGTTCGTTACAGGGTGCTTCAGTAGTGGGCATTCGGACACGCCGTTGCATGCTGGCACACACTTGTTGGTTTCGGTGCAACGAACGTGGCCCGGGTATTGGCAGTCTGGGTTGCAGACCTCGTCTGGGTCGCTATGGGGACCCACGCAGCAAAAGCCCGAGCCCCAGGTGATGTTGCACGACCAGAGGTCATCACACACAGCCTGGAGGGGAAAGAAGTGGGAAGCGAAAAAAGTCATGTGCACTAAGTGGGTTTGGGAGTGAAGGGAAGGAGCGACAGTGGGGTGGAGAGGTTGGAAGAGGAGCGGGTGGGAGTTGAAAGGGTGTAGAGGAGAGATCAAAAGAGAGTGGAAGGGGAGATGGTATCAGAAGAGAGGGTGTGAGTGGAGCGATCAGTGAGAGAGAAAGAGAGCAGAGGTTTGAAAAACACAGTGGGAGATATCAATGGGATAGAGGGGAAGTGCCGAAGAAGGAGGATGAGGGTCGCTACTAGGAATGTCACTTAGAACAGAAGTTCGGGCTTACATAAGTGTTTTGGTTCTGTCCACACATCCATTCCTCCTGCAGGCAGGGCTCATTCGCACCCCGGCAATACGTGCCCTCAGTAGGGTCGTAACACTCCCTCTCACACCCAACGTTGCTGCTGCTGTCGTTGCTGCTGCTGCTGTCGTTGCTGCTGTTGCTGTCGTTGTTACTGCTGCTGTCACTGTTGCTGCTGCTGTCAATGTTACTGCTGTTACTGCTGTTGCTGCCGTTGTTGCTGCTGTTGCTGTCAATGTTGCTGCTGTTACTGCCATTACTGCTGCTGTTGCTGTCAGTGCTAAGGCTGCTTCCACTGCTGCTCAAGCCGTCGCTGGCGTCATCTCCTGAAGCATCGATGTCAGTGCTTGTGTCACCGCTGCTGCTACTGTTACTGCTGCTGTTGCTGTCATTGCCGAGGCTGCTCTCACTTCTGCTTCCATTGCTGCTCAAGCCGTCGCTGGCATCATCTCCTGAAGTGTCGATGTCAGTGCTTGTGTTGCCGCTATCGAAAAAGTCCCAATTAGGATCCTGTGCCGCCACCTTTTGAGGTTGGGGGAGAGGCAAAAGTGGGTGCCAATGTTACAGGGTGAGGCTGGGAGTGGGTGAGAGTGGGGAAGGAGAGCGAATAAGGGAGAGAGTGAGGGCTGAAGAGAGGCCAAATGAGTGGAGCTAACATGAGATCCGGCCTCGAAAATAGTGGTCGGATTGGGGGAAGGCGTCGAGGGGAAGCCGCACTGGGTTGAGAAATCACATGATGGGTTTATTAAGCGCCGGAAAGGAGGATCAACGGGAGGATGAGAACAGTGAAGGGTGAAGGGTGTCATGATGACATTTTGCCGGAATGCCATGGGTATGAAAAAGTTGCTACTTTTTGTATCTCGTTTTGAATAAGCGCAGTTGGGATGGGCGGATGTCGGGAAGCGCGTTACCTCTTCGTCCAGTGTGGACAGCGCTGACGTCAGCAATGACGCCAGTAGAAGCGCGAGAAGCAGCCACGAAACCGCAGGTAACGACCTGAATGGCAACTGTCGCTGTGCCATTACGGTCACGATCCGTCAGCGCGTTAGCGTTTTAGATAATCCGACTCGGCAGACCCCGTTGAGACCGTCCAATGCGTGATGAACTAGGATTCGGAAAAAAAAGTCACGTTTTAGGGTTTCAGGGTCTGTTATGACGATCTGGCACTGCCACTGGAAAACACTATTGAATATGACGCTTATAACCAGTTATAATAAAGAACAATATAAAATCGAGTAAAGGCGGCTACTGCTTGAGCTTATTGCGAGAAAAGGACTGATAGAGAGATCGAAGTACTCCCACCTGTTTTATTGTGATGGGAAAACTGGGTAGGGAAAAAACACGCTCTCCTGGAAGGGGAAGAGGGGCTTGGAGAAGAAACAGATGTGTGCGAAATGTGCCGAGCCGCATCACGGTAGATATTGCCCTGCCTTGCTGTCAAACTGAGGTTGGTGGTGGCGAGGGATGCCTTCTGACCCCCGACGACCGCAGGGGAGCGCAGTTCAGCCCTGGAAGCGGTCCACCTGAGCGCAACACTCGCATGTAAAACTCAGGGGAAACAGAAATTTCGGTTTCAGGGGCTGCGATGAGGTCGCGGAAGTCAACGCAGATATGTCATTCGTGCGTAAGAAAACGAAGGTGTGAATGTTACATGGCTGACTAGTTATACATGCACGTATTGGTTATGTGTAAGGAAAATTCCATTTCCTTCACGTCCCCGCTTAGCGAGTACACCACTGTTCCCGCCAACAACTCCCAACAGTACACCGTTACCACTCGCGACACTCGCCTCGAATACTGTTCCCCCCACTGCCCACGACGCGACCAACCTCACGGTTCGGTTGTGTTACAATCCCAAGTGGGACTCAGCGAAGGATCGCTCAGGGTTGATCGCAGAGTAGTGTTGCAGCGGAAGTTTGAATCTCAGGTCAGAGTGAATGTAAATGACTGAGTTAATAAAAGCATGCATACATCGGGTTTATATATGAGTACAGGGGAATACGAAAAGACCTAGACTAGCCATGTACTCTAAGGGGTACATTCCTTTATTCTAACCAAATTCAAACCATGCGGCGCGGGAACCCGTTTCAAACCTGTTCCCGCTCTTTTCACTTGAAATGTTTCTGCCTGCATCGGTCTTGGTCAGACGGTTGCTGCGTCGCTTCGACTCTTCTGACTCGACTTCATACTCGGTAGAGTCGGCTCCTGCAGCATACAGGAATGCCTACTCATGCAATTTCATATCGTAACACTCCCCTTCATTCCTGGGCGCAGGAGGATCTGACTCGCTTGATTACTCCGGTGAGGTCAGAGCAGTGCTTGTACTGCTGACGTGGCAGGCGCTTGGTGAGGAAGTCTGCTGCCATCTCAGTAGTCGGGCAGTAGGCGAGGTCAAATTTTCCTTGGTCAATTTCGTCCTTGACGAAAAAGTACCGAAGTGCGATGTGCTTCGTGCGGTTCACGAAACCTGGCTTGTTCGTGATCCTGATGGCACTCTGGTTGTCGCAGTGGAGGCGAGAGGTTGGCGAAGTTGGAATTTTCGCCTCCTGTAGCAGCTCCTGCAGGTACAGGCCTTCGCGAACTGCTGCTGTCGCGGCGATGTATTCTGCTTCAGCCGATGACAGGGCAACCAGCTCCTGCTTCTGCGAGTTCCAGGAGTTTGGCCCAGTTGGTTCCAAGTGAAAAACGAAGCTGGTTCGGGACCGTCGATTTGCAGGGTCAGCTGCATGATCTGCGTCCACGTAGCCGTTGAGGCTGAAGGAGGTGGTCGTCAGCGTGGAGTAGGAGAGCCCAATGTCAGGTTTGGAGATGAAGTACTCCAGGGCGCGCTCCAGGTCCAGCTGGTTCTCAGCTACTGGCTTGCGGGAATACTGTGCCAGTTGGCTAGCAATGTACGAGAGGTCGGGGCAGCAGGTGACAGAGGCGAATAGCAGGCACCCCAACTTCTGCTGGTACATTTGGAGTCCTGCGGGTGACAGAGGTTTGTTGTCCGGTTTGTAGTTGGCGCTGGGGTTGCGGTAGGGAGTTGAGAGTGGTGCGGGTGAGATGTTGAAGCGTTCCCCCAGCTGCTCTGCGTACTTTGAGGCTGACAGGTGAATTGCTTCTGGCGCGTAGGTGATGTTTAGCCCCAAAAGCTGCTTCACGTTGTGGTTGATGGTGATGTCCACGCGCTGCGCCAGGTTCTCCTCAAACTGGTTAAGGAGGATGTAATTGCCGCTGAAGTGAAGGCGATACATTCCCGGGTCGTGCGGCAGCTGCTTGAAACCGATCTCCAGGAGAATTTTGTGCAGATGCTGCTGCCAGAGACGGGGCGCCTGCTTGATCCCGTAGAGGGACTTCTTCAGCTGACAAACCCTAGGATCCCCTTCACCGTAGGTGTGAGGCTGCTCCACGAAGATGGTGGCGTCCACCAACGCGTATAGAAACGCGTTCTTCACGTCGATCTGTCGCAGTGGTAGGTGCTTAGCGGTGGCAATGGCGAGTAGGATTCTGACGGAGGTGTGACGACTGACGGGAGCGAAGTGTCAGAGTTATTTGACATAGCTACTGTAGGCTATAGTGGAGTAGCACATATGGGGTACAGTTTCCTAGGGTTTGCCTTTTGTACCCAACTTTCACTTAGTCATTTCATTCCTGTTTTCTTGATTCACATGGTATAGAGCGGGTTCCTACATGGGACCGTTCCTTCCTAAGGGCCCACCATAAGAATTTTTTTTTTTAGCTGCCCACGCACATTGCGCCCTGCCCTGCCCTAAAATTTTTTAGCGGCCCCTACGCTGCCCCTACGCGGCCCCTACGCCGCCTCCCACGCGCCCCCTATGCGGCCCCTGGCGGCGCCCTGACGAGGCCCCTGCCGGCGCCCTATCGCGGCCCCTGACGCGCCCCCTGGTGGCGCCCTGACGCGGCCCCTGGCGGCGCCTGACGCGGCCCTGACGCGGCCTGACGCGGCCCCTGGCGGCGCCCTGACGCGGCCCCTGCCGCGGCCCTGAAGCGGCCCCTGACGCGGCCCTGACGCGGCTCTGCCGCGGCCCTGACGCGGCCCTGACGCGGCCCTGCCGCGGCCCCTGGCGGCGCCCTGACGCGGCCCCTGACGCGGCGCCCTGACGCGGCCCCTGCCGCGGCCCTGACGCGGCCCTGCCGCGGCCCCTGACGCGGCCCTGACGCGGCCTGCTGCGGCCCCTGCCGCGGCCCTGAAGCGGCCCCTGACGCGGCTCTGCCGCGGCCCTGACGCGGCCCTGACGCAGCCCCTGACGCGGCCCCTGCCGCGGCCCCTTGCGCGGCCCTGACGCGGCCCTGCCGCGG